TTATCCGTTGAAAACAATCCGAATTTAGCTTTGGCAAAAAAAAAATTCATATAGGGGCTTCATTCACAAAGGCTCTGTTCACTTAAAATCTCTACATGCGAGCGGGCATGGCGGAGAAACAAGCAGCGCTGCTTTCGTTCTGAGGTAAAACTCTACGAGGGAGACAAAAGTCCCTCAACAATTCAATCATTCGTTTAAATCTGCATAGAACCTAACAACCGTCATCAGCTTGCTTATGAGCAGCCCTCAAAAGACAAAGCCACCAACACCGCAGCCAACGATGGTGTCGCCAAAAAAAACCGCGAAAAGTCGGCAAAAAAGCCACTACAAAGAACTATATATCGCCTAAAAGCAGGCAAGAAGAGAGAAAAAAGATATATACTGCCTGTGTGAGGGAGACAACCAAGAAAGGATTTATCTTGCCTTGAAAGGCAGATACACAGTAGATGGGCCCCCAGGCTGAGATTTGCGAGATAAGACCGGCAATACAGTGAATAGCACGTTTTTATCCGGATGTGAAGAGGAGTGGTTCGGTTCCTCACGGGTTCATAACCATTTTCGAAAAGAGGCTCCGTTCACAACCGGTGGTTTGTCTCATTAATTGTACTAATTTGTCCAATTCTGAGTGCTTCTGCCTCTCAGAAAGAGATTTTCTGTTCTGAACCGAATACATAAACCAAGCTTACTGCATTAGCAATTGCATAGCCGGATTTGATAAGAGGATTCCAGCTTGTAAACTGCATCTTGTCGTATCTTCATCGTCTTTGTATCCAATTGCAACCGGACGATTCCAATTCACATGATTCACAAATCGCATAAGTTCGAACGGATTTACATAAGTTGTATCGGGCATTATATAATACCAATCGTACTTTTCATGCATTGTCTGAACAAAAAAAAAAAAATACGGCCATCAACAAAAACATCAACAGAACTGAACTGGTTTCAAAAATTTAAAGAAACCAATAAAACAAAAACCGAGATTCAGAAACTTATGGAAATGAGCCCTGCACAAGCCCCGAGGTTCACAGAACAAGCTGATAATTTCAAAAAATAACTCCAAAAAAATATATCAACCGTTTTCTCCTCGTACTACGCTTTTGCGGTAGCTATTTCAAGACCCTTCTGGACAAGGCTGTATCAACTCACGCTGAATCAAGCTTAAACGTTTTGCTGGGATTCCCCTCTTCCAACTCGTTTTTACCGAACAAATGTTCGATATAACCCAGTCTTTTCGCTCCAAGTGTGATTTAGCAGTTCATTCACGAACATTTTTGTCCCTAACAGCCAAGGCCTCTAGGAAGTTTTAGAAAGCGTGGAAGAAATCACGCAAAATTTTTTTTTGTGAAAAAAAATCACTGCATATGAATGTAAAAACTATACAAAATAACCACGCAGTTCCCACGTGTTCGCTTCACATGATTCCCTACACGCAATTCTCCGCGATCCTCAAAAAAAAATCATAAAATTATTCAAAAAGTACCATGTTGAAGATAAGACCAAGGATGGAAATGAGCGGATGCTGCTGTCCAGTGGGCCGGTAGGCTGCAAGATTTGGAAGCGCTGCTATGTCGCCATCGATGCGCGAAATTTCAACGAATAATTGCAGATGTGGCAGATGTCGTCCGATTGAAGCATTCAGGGCTACTGTGAGCGAAGATTGACCCAAAAGAATGACAGCCAGCTTATCACGTATTCCCAATTCGGTGGCCAAAAATCGGGCCCGAACAACCTGCAAAAATAGGAGACTTCACAGTGATATTTTTAACAATGTAGTACTTCAGCTGTTCCGTCCTGTCTTGTTATCGAAGTCACCGGTGACGCTACCTAAGTTCTACTGAGGGATTCAAAAAAAAAAAAAAACGAAAAATTTACTGTTAAAACGCTAAAAATGTCATCTTAGGCACCATTTTAGCCCCTCAAAGTGTCCAAGAATAGGAAAAACAACTTTCACTATCACTGTGTTGAAAGCAATGACATACTGATGCGAAATGTGATCACTGACAAAAGCAGAAGAGCGAATGTTGGCTGTGACAAAGACAGGACTGGAGCAAAGGACGCCTGAAGCTGTCCTTTTATGAAATAAATAGCAACGCGCACCAGACCAGCCGGTGCGATCATGCGTTTTGTGCAATTCAGCCCATCG